AAGGATTAAGCTTTGTAATTTTGGATTCAACACTCGAATTGTGATATATTGTAAGTTCTTCTCTTTATTTTTAGTTCATGAAAAATGATGGAATTGTGAGTGATGATTGATTGTGTTGAATTGATATTGCGTAGCTAATTCTTATTGCTTGGGATAGGGGATGATTGTTCTTGTTTAATTCATATCTCTCAGGCTTGAATTGTTCGTTCTTGTGTGGGTTGAATTGATTCAGAATTGTTGAATTCTTGTTCGATAGATTGATATAATCGAAAAGTGATATTTCGATCTTGCTATTGGTGACAATTGGATGTTAATTTGTCGAGTTAAGGTTTGTCGATTCTATGTGATTAGTTGATTAAACTTCTTCTAATTGAATTAGCGATTTTTAGACCCGAAAGGGGAGAAGTCATAGACCTAGGCTTGCATGAGGTAGACGATGTCGTAACTGATTAGTCTATATGTTTTGGGTTGAAATACGCGCTTGTCGATGACCCATCCCTTGTTACGAAAAGTTATTGGGATTGGGATAATTGGCATGTGTCGTATGCTCGAGTTTGTTCGTCTATGTTCAATCCCTTGTTACGAAGAGTTATTGGGAGCGAACCGGTAGATGTTTAAGCGAGAGCATCAATTTAGAATAGAATGATTCATGTCCCGGTGTGAGAGTAGAACTTGAATTAATTCCCCGACTCCCTAGCTTCTCCATCTTTATTTCGTTTATATTTTAGGTAGATTATTTGTTTTATATTATTCCTCCCATATTTGATTAGAATGTTTATGATTTATTTTGCTTTTATGTGCTATCGATACCAAAGCTGAATTTTGAACCGCCTTCCTCGTGAGATCGACCCGGGGAACGAATCTTTCGATTCGGTACTCGGTAAAAATAACAATTTGTACACAACAATTACGTCAAAAATCACAGTTCGAATTTTAATTTTTGTTTTGATGATTTTTTTTTTTACTTTTAAAGCGCATATCTATAGACAAGTATTGTGAAAAGAGAAAAATGACGTATTCATCATATTTTTGATAATTTGTATACGAATTGAATGACAAGATTTTTTAAAGTGCACATGTAGACACAATATTGTGCATCTAATCATAAATTAATCTTTATTAAATTATAAATTGCTCTTAAATTATATTAAAGGTTAAAAAATTGCAAAATAATCTACTAAATATGTCTAATTTCCCAAAAATCAACGCCCAAAACAATGAAATACGAGTCATATCTCGGCCCCAATTTTGCTGACACCAACAATATGCCGAGGTGTCGCCGTCATCCCACCCCAACCGCCGCCATCCCACCCGTGACGTGAACCACGATTCAGCCTGAGCTTCCACCTCGTAGGGCTTCTCGCCGGAGCCTCATGCGGAGAAGGAGACGGGAGAATCCACAGTGGATGTCGAATTATAGACGTGACAGAGCACCGCCCATTCAGATTCAGAGCGGCGGCCGAAGAGCGACGCCGGAGATCGCAACCACGATGAAGACACGGACAATGGCACAGCGGAGGCACGCTTTGATGCACGGCAGAGGAGCGATCTGAGTAATCCATGAATCGCGGCAGTCTCTGCAGGCGGTGGAGGAAGGGCGGAGACGCGTCGGAGGTACGGCTGAAGCCAGCGGAGGCACGACGGCAGTCTCCAGCGGGATTGGCTTCACTCTGTGTGTGTGTGTGCTGAGTGTGTGCGTGTATGCTTGTGTGTGTTTGTGTGGTATAAATATTAGGGTTGGTATGTGGTATGTAATGATCGGTTTACCCTTATTGAGTAGTCAAATATGTACATTTGATCATAATGTGTGTTGAATTTACCATATTGTCATTAATGATTGACTAAATTTTGACTTGATCATGACCATTGATATGATGTATCCAATGAACAAGATTTATTCTTATTTCTTTCACTATCTTCCTTTCTCATATGATCCTGATTATATATATATATATACATATATAAGTGCGCTTAAATGAGAATGAACACAATGAAAGAAATAAGAAAGAATCTGTACCGTTGGATCTATAATGTAAATGGTCATGATCGAGTCAAATATTAATAAATATCAGTCAAACCTGCATGACATTCTAGTAAAAAAGTAGTCATATCCAGTTCAAATATATTGACTACTTAATAAGGGTGAAATTATCATTACACAATCACACACCACAAGTGTGACCCACGTAACTCCACTAACCCCATGACACGTCACCATCTCCTCCACCAAGCCCAAACCCATCACACACACATACGCCAAACACACATTGCGGAGACAGTGGACAGAAACGTTCGCCTCCACCCGCCATATCCACCGCCGACCGTCTCCGGAGACTACCGACGCCGTCTCTCTCAATCTCTCTCTCTCTCTGTATCACTCTCTCCAATTCGTCTACGAGTTTGTCGATTTCATCCTCATCTGACAGACGTCGCCAGTGTCAGCCCGTGTCACGCCATCGGCGTCGCCGTCGCGTTTAATTTGCTCTCCTCTTACACCGGATTTTCTTTTAATTTAATTAAAATCTCAGTAAAAAGAAAAAAGAAAGAGCACCAATTGTGAAACCTAGATTTCAAGTTATGTAATTAAATCGAGGACAGTGCCTAGTTTCAGACTGGCGTCGCTTGAATGGTAGTGACAGGAGGCGACCGTCGCGTTCATAGTGAGTGACAGGGGGCGGTAGCGTTTGAGGTCCTAAGATGAGATTGGGGTGCTAACTTATGAGAATTAGAAAGTTTATAGGGACATATACACAAATTGATAAAAAAATAATTAGATTTCATTTTAGTTTATGGGTGAAATATGTAATTTATTACAAATTAGAAAATGCAAAATATCAACAAGTAAATTACACAATATTAATAAGTGAACCAAATCGATCGAACTTTAATTTCAAATCAAAATAAAAATGAACAAAAATATGTAGTAATAATAATATTTTTTTACATAGTTCGCTCCGTGTTGTTTTAGGTATTTTAAAAATAAAGCTGACGCCGTATCGAGACAACCAAAATTTTAATATTAAGACAAATATTCGAGCTGAATATGAAAACCTCAACCCAAAAATTTAATTTGGTTGTGTTCAATTGTTATAGTGCAATCTGTTAGTTATTAATGTGCAATTTATCTAACACTACTGTTCACGGTTTTTGTCATTATCATGCATTCTTAACCGACCCAACTTTTGCACCAAACAAAATTAAAACTGAATCGAATTAATCGGTTTTTTCAATCGGTTAACCAAAAAAACAAAAATAATTTAACTTAAATATTATTGACATTATAAAAACATATTTGATTTTTTATATTAATTGTGTATTTTTTATTTTTGGCAAAAAATAATAGTCTATATATATATAATATTTTTTATCTAGTTCAATCAGTTGTTTCTTTTAAAAGTAATGTCGAAGTCAAAATAACCAAAATTTAAAAAGTAGTAACAGATAATTGAACTAATATATATAAATTAGGATAGAAAATTTTGGTTCTTTTCAGCCCCTGGACGCTCTTGATCTTCTTGGCTGAAGGAAGACAGACGTGCGAAATTTGAGTTAACGGGTTAGGGAATTTCCCTAACTAAAAATTGTAATAATACTGAAGAAGGTCGGATGAGCGATTTTTATATAATGTAACAACTCGAGTTTTTATTATAACTTAGAGTTGTTTTTAGAATAGAACACTAGTGTCTCTATGTTACAATAAATAAATGAAGAGTATTTATAGAACCAAACCCACATGCACTGTCATGATGTCAATTCATCAACATTAAAATCAATTAGACGGCGACGTGTGGCTCTGCAGGGCAAGACCCACTCATAATGGTTATTTTCGATAATACGATGGACATGCATCCTTTCAGCATTTAATGCATTGTCAGGGGTCGGTCTTCGTAGGTTGATCGACACATGTAGTGGAAAAACCGAGTATCTTATATGAAACATTGTTCTGTGTCGAGCTGGTTACTTCATACGAGCACCAAGCTAAATTATGATGATGTCCTTATAAGTAATTTTACATATTAACAGTTAATTAAAAATAGCTAATTTTACCAAATATTTTGTACAAACCGCTAATACAATCATCTGGTCAAAACAACTAACTCAATCCACTAGTCAAAATAGCTAATGCAATCGGCTAACCGCTAAAAACTAAACAAAACATTTGTCTTGTTCCCAAATTTAAGTTTTTATTTTTATTTTTATTTTTTTGCACAAGCTTTCGATTACCATTTTGGAAGTTAATGAATAACACCTCTCCAAAATGGAATGCCCCAAAAGATGTAACTAATATACCACATCATTGCGGTAAAAAAAGTTGAAAAAAATTGAATTTTCATCAGAATATGTATGTCCAATACACTTAAAATAAACAATACATAAACCATACACCAGCAGAAAAATATTACAACAATACTCATCGTTTTTTCAGCTCATGATTAGATTATGCAGTAAAAGTTTCCCTTAAACTCTAAAAAGTCAACATATTCTTTGTCTTTAAAAAAAATATTCACTTTTTTTTTAACAGTCCTTTCGTCATCCATTGACCTCCATTACCTGACTTCCGGCTAGACGAGGCTTCCAAGACACAATGCATCCGACCGACGAACGCATGGCGTGGCTTGCTTTCCATAGCGATATTAGCTGTCGATTCTTCGGGTGGTATATCACATTAACCACCTTAAAATCCTCCGAACATCGCCTCCAGTGCCGACGCTCATGTTTCCGATTAAGCACGCCAGCGTTGGTGGGCCGCTGCCGGCGGCCTCTCTAGATATGGCGTCATTCAAATAAATTGAAAAATTACAAAGCAGGTGCGAGTATAACAAATAGAGGGAGAGACAATTAAAAAGCGTGAAAATTTATTGATGCACGAGCATGTGGAAGTACAACTACTGAAGCAAGCATTATCAGGTTTTGGAAACACAAACTATAACTCTTTATTGCACAAACACAAAGTAGGTGATGTAGGGAAGCGTTAGGTGTGAGAGAAGATGACAATAGCATTAGAGTATTTTGCATCTAGTGTGTCCATCGGCTACTGATTCATAGAGATCATCCGGGTCGGGCACGACTCCCGACAACTTGTTGCCAGAAAAATCGGAATAGATTATAGCAACCATGTTGCACACATTTGCTGGAATCTTGCCCATAAAATTGTTGTGCGACAGGTCCAACCTCTCCAAGTTGGTCAGCCCTCCAAATGACGGCGTGATGGCCCCCGACAGCAAATTATAACTCAGGTCTACCACATACTTGGCACTTTTCAAGTTGCCAATTGCATCTGGTACGTTACCTGATAAACGGTTATGGTTCAAGTTCAATCTCAGCAAGCGTCTCAGACTCCCGATTTCATCTGGAATCTTCCCCGCCAATTTATTATTTGACAGATGAAGATATTGGAGTGCTGTCAGCTGGTAGACCTCCCGAGGGATTTCTCCGGTCAAATGGTTGCTGCTTATATCGAGATGGCGAAGCTTGCTCAGATTCTTGAGCTCTGCCGGGATATTCTTGGTTAGTCTGTTGGAGCTCAAGTTGAGGACACGCAGTTCTTTGAGATTCCCTAGCTCGGATGGAATCTTTCCAGATATTTTGTTATCATTGATGAGTAAATCGGTGATGCGTGAGTTGTGGGCCCATTTGGACGGGATCGGGCCGGTGAATTGATTCTCGCTCAGGCTTAAGAACTCGAGCTGCTCAAGTGTGCCAAAAACCTCTGGAATATTACTACTAAATTTGTTACCGTCGAGACGCACCCGGATCAGATTTTGGAGGTTGGAGATGGAGTGGGGAAGGGACCCTGTCAGGTTGTTGTTGCTGAGCAAAAGGTACTGGAGGGACTTGAGTTGCCCAATCTGAGCAGGAATATTCCCACTGAGTTTGTTTTCAGACAAATCGAGCGTCAAGAGGCTTTTCAGGTTCCCTAACGCCCGAGGTATGTTGCCCGACAGAAAGTTTGTTGCGAGGTATAACCCTGTCAGCTCCCTCAAATTTCCTAATTCTTCCGGTATATTGCCCGTAAAATCATTATTACTAAGTGATAAAAGGTTGAGATTTGTGAGTAGGCCTATCTGGGATGGGATTTCCCCTGTGAAATGATTGTTTTGGAGCTCTACGGTTTTTAGTTTGGTCCACGAGGTGAGAAAATAGGATAAAGTACTGCCGGATAAGTTGTTTTTGGATAATGCCAAATCGGATAAGTTGATTAAATTTGACAGGGACTTGGGCAGAGTCCCGGAAAGGGAATTCGTGGCTAGTGATAAGTAGGCCAGATTAGTGCACTGCCCAAGCTCGGGAGGAATTTTCCCAGTTAAACTGTTTGACCAAAGGTCTAAATGCTCAAGTTTTGTAAGTTGACCTAAGGAAACCGGTATACCACCTGTGAGGTGGTTTTGAGAAAGATCGAGAAACATGAGGTTCTTACAGTTTAGTATGAAAAGCGGGAATTCGGAAGTGAGTTCATTTAGGGTGGCGCTAAAATAGGTCAAGAAAGGGGAACAACTGGTTTCGGATAAAATCTTATTATGAAAGGCATCAAAAAAGTTGCCGCCTAAATCGAGGTACACAAGGTTGAGGCGGGCAATCTCTGAAGGGATATTCCCTATCAAATTGTTGTTGAAGAGAGTTAAATTCCGCAGTTTGGTTAGTCTTCCAATCCCGGGTGGAATGGCATTGTTGAACATATTGTTGCTGAGGATTAAGGAAGTGAGGTTTGACAGGGTGTTGATATTTTGTGGTATAGAGCCGTTGAATTTGTTTCCGTTGAGGTTTAGAATTTGGAGGGCGGGTAATGAGGTGAAATCGAGATGAGCCAAAGTTCCGGTGATACCAGCATTGGATAGGTTAAGAGCGATAACCAAACCATTATTATTGCAAGTAACACCATGCCAAGCTGTGCACAAGTTTGGGATGTTTTTTTGGGACCACGAAGTTTTTAGAGATTGGGGTATTGTTGGTAAAGTGTTTATCCATTTCAACAACGCTGTGGCTGCTGCTGGGTGTGCAGCTACATGTGTTGAGGAAGATATTGTATTTAGTAGGAAAATGGGAAGCAACAAAATGAGGGTGACTATTTGGGGTGGGTTCATCATTGCTTTCTTAGTTGGTTGTGGTGGATAATGTTACAACGGTGTTGTCCTATTTATACAAGAGTCCGCCTATGTACATAGGATAAATCATATTTTGTCTTTATTAGTCCTTTTTTATAGTCATGATCTTCAATGATCTTGGCTTGATTCACCTCATTTATATTATGTTTTAGATTGGAAGATTTTTACTTACATTTCATATATATGTTTTGTCATCCTATGTACATAAGATAAATCATACTTGTCTTTATTAGTCTTTTTTTTATAGTCATGATCTTCAATGATCTTGGCTTGATTCACCTCATTTATATTATGTTTTAGATTGGAAGATTTTTACTTACATTTCATATATATGTTTTGTCCGCCTATGCGCATAAGATAAATCATATTTTGTCTTTATTAGTCTTTTTTTATAGTCATGATCTTCAATGATCTTGGCTTGATTCACCTCATTTATATTATGTTTTAGATTGGAAGATTTTTACTTACATTTCATATATATGTTTTGTCCGCCTATGTACATAAGATAAATCATATTTTGTCTTTTTTTTTTTTATTTTTTTTTATTATTTTTTTTAGTCATGATCTTCAATGATCTTGGCTTGATTCACCTCATTTATATTATGTTTTAGATTTTGGAAGATTTTTACTTACATTTTATATATATGTTTCTCAGATAAGGATTTTTTTTTTCTAAGTAGACGTTTTTCTAATACAGAGTATATATGTCTT